GTGACTGGAGAATTAATTACTGCAAAGACTGGCTCTTTCTTCCAGTGCCCCCTTGCAGCTGGGATACCCAGCTGACAGTTCAGTGATTGAATCAGGAGGGGAACACTGGGAAAGCATTCTTACAGAGAGGCCATACATTCTAAACTAGCATCCTACTGTCATCCAACACTAGAGCCGTTACAGAGATCACCAGCCCACAAATGTCAGAGAAGGCTAAGTTAGAAGACAGTAGGAAATTAAAGAATACAGTATGAATTTTGAAAACAAAATTATTTGTGTTTTAAGTGATTAGATCAGTAAATCTGTATATTTTTTTCCCTTGAAAATTTTTTCAGGTTTTAACTCCTTTGTCCTACAGACTATCTAGCTTATAAACATACTATACCTGTAGATTGAGAGGTACACTCTCTTCCTCCAAGATAATTCTGGCATCAAACATTAGTTATGAATTACCTTATTAATAATAAAAAATTAATTTAGCCAAGAGAAAAGTCTAATAAATTAGCTCACTGTCAAGACTCACTGCAGAAAGCAGAACAGCATCCCACCATCCAAATGCAATATTCACCTGTGGTAGCCACTTAAAGAAAATCTCAGCAAAGAGCACTTTTATCATACAAACACAATTGCTGGAACATTCCACACTGATGTAGTTGTGATGCCCGTTCAATATACTGTAACTAAGTAAAGCCAGATCAGCTTTTATATAGCCTGAGGCAAAATTTACACCTTCTAACTGGAGGCTTCTAAGCTGGGTATCTATTTTGGAGAGTGTCTTCCAAGCATCTAAATTCCTCCACTGAAACCCATTTGTTCATTCCCCCAGCCCTGTATCTGATGAGAAGCCTGATGTCATTCTGAAACCTGAGTTAATCACAGTACAGACGATATCCCTCAAGGTTTTAGTATGTGCTAGAGCAAAATAGGGTGTCAGGTTTAGATTTATGGCTGTCTGTGAGAATGCTTCACCATATCACCCTCTTGATTAAACCACACAGCTGTCAGCTGGAATCCCAGCTGCCAAGGAGTCCTTGGAAGAAAGAATTCTCTCCAAGAATAGGTCAATTAATGAGAAGTGACTTATTAATAGAAATTTAGTGAAATCTTACCTTGCTATGACTCCCACACACACTTTAAGTTAAGAAAAAGATTCATGTTTCTAAAGTTACCAAAAGCTGTTTTACCACCTTTATGCAATGCTTACCTTCCTCTGCAGCCTCCTATATTGCTCCTCACGTATTATCTTACCTATTTTGAGATGGTAGAAATATGCTCACAGTAACTGAATACAATTTTTGAAACTGCTGTATCTTACCTAAACCTGATGATGAAGAAACACTTCCTGTAATGGAAGATGTTTCCATTTGGTCTGTCAATAGTCCTTCCATTAAAGGTAAAGATAATTCAGATGAAGGAACAGACGAATCGTAGATTCCAGAATCTCGAGGCATGTCTTTTGAAGCTTTAACAATGTGTAGCAGTGGCTGAAGAACAGAGTTGCCACCACCTTGAATGTCCTGAGTTTCTATATCTTCTCCAAGGTTTAAGTGCTGAATTATACAGTGAGAGTCTGAATTCCCTGCTGAAATAATATTTACATCTGTTTTCAGGTAAAAATCGCCATCCATCACCTGTTTATTCACTAAGTCATTTAAAACCAAGCCTGAATCAAATTTTTCCATGACAGGCTCCGAGTAATGTAAAGAAGGTGGAGGGAAGGGAATAAATTGTTTCTCAAACCAATCTGGTTCCTGATCAATGAACTGATGCATGTTGCAAATAGCAACATAGAGGGACCTCCCAGATTTGCTCCTGAAATAATTCCTTTTGCTAATGTTAACAGGAAACACCTCTGAATCCTGTACACCAAGATCTCTGGAGTGTAAATGTGAATACAGCTGAGGCAGATTGTCCATGAGTTTGTATTTTGTGCTCAGATCCAGAATAGCAGGGATGTCTCCTTCACAGGAGTAATCAAAGTAGACTGCAATGAACTTGCACAGGTCAGCTGAATTCTGCTTTGCTTGACGAAGCTTCTCTGCAACAGTCAACACAGCAAACAGAAAGAGTTCTCCCTTTCCTGCATCCTTGGTTACCCCTCTGTGCTTCCAGTTCTTTTTTTCAACAAAGTATTTCATTCCTTTGGAACACACAATGATGATAAACTGGGACTCGTTAATTTTTTTAATAAGCCACTCCTTCTGATCTTCTTTACAGTTTTTTAGATCTTCCCACAAATCTAGAGCCACCTGGAAAAGGAAAAAAAAAAAAGCATTCTGGTTGATATTAATTTTTAGATTATTAGATATATTTGCTAATAAAACTTAATTGAGTTATACTGAGTCAACTGTATTTATCTGACAATTGAGAATTACTGATAAGTTTAACTACAGCTTGTCCCTGATGCTGTTTTACAAGAAAAGCTGTTTTACAAGAAAAATAAGTAATAATTAACATAACATTGACAGTGGACAAACTGGAATCAGTTAGATAAATAATGTCAGTAGTCCTTTACCAACATAAGCACAGCCTCATACTCATCCTAAACTTTGCTTGTGGGCTGAAAATTTCCCTGGGTTCACGAAGTGGGAAAACCTTTATTTATTAAAAAAAAAAAAAAGAAGAACGCTAGTTACTATGTGTAACCGTTTTGCTGCTCATTTATTACTTAAAGAAAAACATACCTAATTATACCAGTGTTACATACAAATTTATGGAACCAACATGTAACTGCAAAGCCAAGTAGCTGAAAGTAAACCAAAACCTTAAAACATAAAAGTACTATGGACTTGATACACAGCGATATCTCTTGGGGAATAAAAAGAACACAGAAAATGGGGCTAGATCCACTAAATTACAATTTACTTATGTGATCAAATTCGATCTTATCAATCCACAATAAACAATTGCGCCTGCCTCAAACAACTTAAACCATTGTATATCTGGGTCCATAATGTGCTGAATGTATTGGAAACAACAGACAGAATTGTTTAGATTGAAAAAGAACATTAAGATCAAGTCCAAGAATTAACCCAGCACTGTGAAGTCTACACTAAACCATGCCCCCAAGTGCCACATTCATTTATCACCTTTTGCATGTTAATGTAATCTGATGCCAAGAATTTTCATATCTAGATAGAAACATAATTAGTGCCTATATTATCAAGTCCTCCCACTTAGGAAGCAACCAAGCAGCAGCTTTATCTGATAAGTTCTGAAAATTTTATCCTAAGAGTCATTTTATTTTGTACTTTAACAAATTTTCTGACTGGATGATCATTGTGGGTTCCTTCCAACTGGACAATTCCACTCTATCCATGGGGGAAGGAAGTCGTTTTACTGATCCTGGGAGATACTCTGAGAAAGGTACAATGCAGGTAGTTTTGTGTATGTTTTTGTTTTTATTCTTCAAAATCTGGTCTGATCTGCTGCCTGTGAGAAAGGATTTTTATTATGGTCATGTTATTATTTGAAATGGCTATTAAATGCCACTGGTTTTGTGCTTTATAAGAAAACACTCCTATTCCATCTGAAAAATACTTGTGTAACTGTTCCATTATGCATTGAGTATCACTTTTTATATTAAACTCCACAGCTTTAATAACAACATGTATTATTTCCGTTTGTAGGTGGCATCAATATTTTGTTATATAAATTTTAAATTATGCCTGAGAGCAGCTATTCCATGGTTCGTAGTTACAGCAGTAACAGCTCACCTTAACACTAGTCCAAAGAGGTGCAGTGTGGCAGGGCTAAAGTACATCTCTTAAAAGGGGATTCAAGCAAGTTATTTAAAAAGCATCTTACTTGAACTATTTTAAACTGATGAACAAATTGTGACCCCACTAAAAACGTGAGGCCTCCGTTGTGTTACTGTGTTTGGGCACCAGAGAGCAGACTTGCTGCAACGAAACCCAGCTCCAGCTCATCCCGTTTACAGCCCAGTGGGGGAGGAAAAAATGCAGCCAAAAGAGACTAACGATTGCCCTGCCTTTTTCCATTTGAAAAGTGAAAGACTGGCCACACAGGGATTATATTTTAGAAACTGGTATGAGATTCTAAGCCTAGTCAGTCAAAGTAACAATTTGAATCTCTCACAGCTTTCAATCAAAAACAAGAAAAAGAGTCACTGATTTTACAGCATTAATAGAAGTAAAAAAATAAAAATCAATTAAAATGAATATATAATGTCTACAATTAATCCTAATTACAGTTTGTGCTCTATGAGTGGGAGTTTTGACATATTCAACTACTTGAAAATTACAATCCAATACATATTTTAGGAATACTTAAGTATATAAGGAAGACACCAATACCTCTTTGTGGCTGCTGGCTATAAAGATGCAAGACCTACTAAATAGAAAAAGTACTTAATACAAAACAAGCTAAACACGGTTGAACAAAGGTCCTGGAATCCTAATTTCCTAATTTTCCACCATTCTGTTGCCTTTTTTTGTTGTTGTTGTTACACTGTATTTGATCTGTTCATTTCCCCAATTAAAGAAAATTTATACAGACAATATTTAGCAAAATAAAAGAAGTTATCTCTGTGAAAAGGAGAGATTGAAATACCTCATTTTCAAGCAGATAGTTTTGAGAGTGCTGTTTCAATTAAGGAAAAGTTGTTTAGAGAAGCAATGCTGAATTTACCTCACAGCCACAAAAGTCCTGAAGAAAATAAGCAAAGCACTGGATGACATTAATGTGTTTCTGGCAATCTTTACTGGAATAGCAGATGAACACTTTTGGCCGGGGATGAAGTCTTTCCACATGGAGACCTGCAGCATATGCTGAAGATTCTGAGCTCTCCTCATCTAGATGGGAATATATATTTTCTAAATTGGAAGAGAGAAGAGAGTTCACACTATAAAGTTCTGTTTTGGCTTTTTAGAACTTTTGTAGGCTCTTTACAGTAAGGACTTTTTTTCAGAAGATTTGTCTTTCAATCCTGAGAAAGAAAAGTTGCACACAGTCTATTTATCCAGCTTATGAGTTGCTACATGTGGGACACACTTTCAAAGTGAAATGTGAAGTTATTTCTGAGTGTACCACTCAGAAAACTCAAGAAAGATTTTATAAATAGAATGAAGTTGTTTCACCTCTATCCAGCTTCAACAGTCTTCACATCTCTGTTCAAATATTATAAGCCATAAAGATGTATCATCAAGAGCTTCCTGTCTAAAAAAGTCTCTTGTTTTAAAAAAAACTAAACCACAACACAAGCCAGGTAAGAAAATTAAACTCCAGGAACACAGACCTCTTCAGAATATCATGCAGGATTTCTCTAGTGTATACATACATACAATGTGTTTGGACATTAATTTGACATTAATTTGAATTAAGATATGATTAATTTAAATCAAAACAGCTATTAGTGTTTCTTTCCTTGCATAGATGCTTTTATGCTGGAGCATAAAAGTCTGGCCTTATGCCAGACTAATTCAATCTAGTTCTACAGCTGATTAAGCTAATTTGGAATAAAGCATGAGAATTTCAAAATACAAATATCCATCTAGGGATTTAATTTAGAACAATTCATCAGGAATAAGTATTCTGGAACAACTCTCTCTGCAGACAAATCCTCAGTGATTTGTCTGGGGTTTTTGTTGGAACTGTGCTAGCTGTGAGCACAGGGATAGCTACAGAAGACCAGAAGGTAAAAGGATTTAACCCAGCTGGCATACAGCACTTGCACGGTATCTCAGTGCCAAAATTCAGGTGGATAACACAGATATGTGAGGTTTGGAGAAGTAATCTCTTTTTCCATATTCATGAAACCACATGATTCTCTAAATTCTATAATGCTGATGGATTTTTAACATCTCAATGTATCAAGTGCTGCTTGCCAGCTCCTGGATACAGAGGAGAGGGAAGTCAGCAAGGAGGGCTGGAATCTAAGTTAGAAAAACATCTGCAGGCAAGTCTTAGAAAGAGTAAATTTAGTAAGATGGCTTAGGATGAAATGTAAAGGCAACTTCCAGTAAAGTGAGCGAATCTGGAATAATAGATTTACGTAATATTCCAGACAGCACTCTGAATTGTATTGGCATCACATGGTTTTACTTTCCTTCTGATTTAAAATAAATAAATATTAGACATTTCTGAGTGAAATAAGAGAATGAATTGGAATGTTTAAAACTAATTACCAGCAAGCACTGATTAAGAATTTGCTACAAGTTTCAACACACAAAAAAGCTGTGGGGAGGAAGGACAGAGAAAAAGAAAAGAAAGCTCTTCAGATAAAGGTATTTCTAGAATTAGCCTACCAATTGAGACTATTTTGGTTGCAAAAGAGTATCTTTAAATGAAACCCTGTACTGAATAACCCCTCCTACCTTGCTGTTTCTTGCGGCACATCACTGTGAAAAGTGTTGCAAACGCTGAAATGACAACTAAAGGGACTGTGATGGCAATGGCTCTGATCGGTCCAGCCCACGGAGAATGTACTTGGGAAAATAAAGCACAATTATTTGTATGTAAATTAGCTGTATTACAATTATCAAATCTTCACACTGGGAATGCAAAACTGCTGCAGTACACTATTATCAGGTAATTCTCAAATATACAGTAGGATCGAACACCATGTTCTGCTCCAGTTTAAATAGGTTTTATGCTGGTTCCCCCACCACCACAGCATTAGTGTGGCCAACCCAAGTACCCAGAGTTGCTCGTCAGCTCACACCATCAGGTGTAGTTTTGATAAGACATGCAATGGTCATTTGGACATGACAGGGTTTTGTTCCAGGGTGCTGAACTAGCCACTTGGAAAGAACAGTCTTCCTGCAGATATGACCTTAAGCAATGCCCATTCGGATTCAGTCCATTTTGCCTGTTGCTTCCATCTGTGGCTTTTTTGTGTCTGCAGCTACATCCTGAAATCCCTGTTTAGGTTTTCAAACACGGGTCTGATCCATTGGCATGCAGAGCATTCACCTGACAGGTTTTCCAGATGGCTTGGTTTGATTTCAGGGTTGAAGGACACAGCCAGGTGATGTGTTTGAGCTGTTCTCACAGTTCCTTTACATTATTTCCACACTGTGATGTTGCATACAATATCAATTGTATGCAATTAAGGATATGATTCCTCATATCCACATATACAACATAAGCCACTTTCCCACAAAGATTTCCAATGATGTACTGATCTATAAACTCCACTAAATACAAACGTGCAGAGAAGCACACGTGTATGTACAGGTCTGCATGTCCACTCTCTTTTAATTAGGTCAGAAAATCCCAGCATAATTGCCTCAATAGTCTTGATTATGGCAAACAAAGAACAAATAGAGACATTTCCAACATAATTAAAACTGAATCTAAATTAATAAGCTAAATATAATATCTTGTTTAAAAGACAGAACTCATACCTGGTTTTAGTGCATAGTGCATTGTTTTCCTTGTTGTATTGGTGTCATCAACCAGCTTGGAAAGGTAAAAGAGGAATTTTATTTATTTTCTGCAACATAACTATATAAACTATAACTATATATAACTACTATAAAAGCTTTTATGACCACATGTGAAGAAACTTATTCAGCAAGTTAAAACTAAAGAGCAGCACAAACTAGGATAATAAAAACTGACCAAACCACAGAATTACATTTAAAAAAATATAAAAATCAAAGTCCAGGAATTATGCAGGTCCACACTTCAATTTAAGGCACAGATGAAAGTGCTACACACTCAGGGGAGTGAAGTTATGGAAAGGTCAAGAACCATCTAAAAAATTTACGTGCCCAAGGTACTTCAGTAGGGATGCCTGAAGTCCAATTTTATGAATGTGGTTTGAAATACTTTAATTTTAGTTAATTTTTCCATTAACATACTCATTTAGCTGTTGCACAAAAGACAATTTATAAATATTACCTCAATTATATAATCCCCTGGAGATACGTTTTGGAGAACACAACTTGTAGTGTCTGTGTTTTGCTCCTACATCAAAGAAAGAATACTTTGCAAGCCACTCACATACTTTTAAAACCTAACAAACAATACATTCACATTGATTTACAAATATGCAATGCCCTCTTGTATTAACACACCTGAAACCAGCAAAACTAAGTCTCTCCATTCAACTGTACAATCTCTGCCTGCGGGACTAAAATATGATTAATTATTAAAAAAAACCACCCTTATACATGAACTCTACATTATGTCCTGAAGCTCCATAGCTTTCAGGGATTCAGGATGAAAGGTTGGCCAGTGAGAACAAACTTGCCATTACATAATAACCAAAGTTAAGGAAGACAACACAGCAAGTTGCAACTCCTATAACAAGACTCAGACACAGGGCTGCACAAACCACAGAGAGCCAAAATTCCACACACAGACTAAACCAAGAGCTACCCCATGATACCTGCTCTAGGTGGGTAATCTACTAAGTGGTCAAATCTGGTGCAAAGGTGAAATTAAAAAGTAGGAAATAATATGTATAACAAAAGTAATAAAACTGCAGTTTGAATTACTAATTAGTTGTAGGGTTTTCAAGAGAGAGAACAGTGTCTCCCCATTTGCTTGTTATCCAGGTCCATATGGAGCCCTCAAGCCTGGTTTTGATTGATGAGTTCTATCACAGAACAATTATTATTTACGTAAATAATACCAAGTCGTTTTAAAATTTTAAAACTGATACTATTTTATATTAAGTTTGTAAAGTTTCTATAAGAACATCTCATGTTAACAGCTTTGGTGCTTTTAAGAGCTGCAAAAGTCGGCCACGTACCTGTTTGCAGGTCTTTTGCTTAAATGGCCCTTCATGCTTGAGTTTGTAGTGAAGAAAGTAATATCTAAACCCGAAGTTGTGAGGTGCATGATCAAAGGACACTTGCATGTTAAAACCCTGCTGGGTAACATTCACATTCCTTGGCTTCCAGTCTGTCAGAGGAGATATTCATGAATTGGAAAATGACTCTTCAGGTACAGTAACTTTTTGTAAGATGAGAATACAAGAAGTGTTACATTTTACTTACAAGGTTTGCAGACAAGGTTTTCTGGCTGTAGCAACAATTCACATGCTACAAATATACAGAAAAATTATTAATTATACAGTATCAATATGCTATGCTATTTCAACAAAAAAACAACATGGGCAAAACTAAGGAGTTCATCAGTTTGAATACCTCCACTTTTTCCCCAGACTCTAATAAGCCTGGACTAAATATATTTTGCAAACTTAACTTCTTTGTTACAAAGTCAAGTCCCTTCTCATCTTTATATGAGAAACACAGCTCCACTAATTTGAAAGTAGCGCTCCTTAGTGACACAAAAGGGATAACACCAGGCACAGCACATCAGGAAAGGAAGTTGAAACTAGCTTTAAATACATTTATTCAAAACAATTATGTACACTGAGCTCTATTACAAATGTTACGGTGGTCTGCATCAGTAGACAGACCTGAAAATACTTAAGAAAGTCTTATAGGGAAAAAAAACAAACCTAAGCAGGACAAATATCAACCTTTCACCCCAAAGGGTAGTTGCAGTTTCTTATCAGACTATGTAAGCACTGAGGAACTTATTCAAGTTTCTTCTCTATATCTCCAATCAAATTTGCTAAGTAATCTCAGGAAATTCAACTTGATCTGTTGCTATCTAATTTTAGATGTACTCACCTACATCTATGTCTAGAAATCTGCTTTTAAACTGTGATCTCAAAACCAAAAACAACCTGTGCTTCTTCACAATGTCCAGAGAGGGGCAAACCACCCTCATGACTTAAATGTTCCTAAGAACCATGGGAGAAATCCTGTTGTAGGCAAACCTGAGATAATCCCAGGTCTACATGAAACTTTTCTTCTGGTTGTTGCCTAACACGTATTATACACCACCCATTCATCTATGGCATGCAAATTCTTTCCACTTAACACCCCAGATTCTCCTTCTAAGACTATGTCAGTCTGACATAGCTCAGTTGGTTAGAGCATGATGCTAATAATACCAAGGCTGCGGGTCTGATCCCTGTGTGGACCTCCCATTTAAGAGCTGGGTTTGATGATCCTCATGGGTCTCTTCCAACTCAGAATTTATTCTGTGATTCACTCCTAACCCAGACTCGTCTCACATCATCATCCACTACACTCCTTTGATGGGAAAACCAAAAAGTCACGAGGAAGGGACCCCCACTGAAGTGATAATGTGCAATACTGAATCACGTGCAATACTTACGTCTGGTTCGGAAGAAAAATGGGTGATAATTACTTTCATTTTTAATGGAAGGAAAAGGAACAATCTTTACAAAGTAATCTGTTTCAAACTTCAAATTTACAAAGGGCAGGGATTCCATTCCCTGCAGAAAAGACAAGATTGCAACATATTTTAAAATCAACTATCGTAACTGAAAGTGTTTTTTCTAAAACAAGCCGAGAATTTTGCAATCAAAAGCAGAAATTATTACACTAAGAATTCTTTATCTACCCCTCCATTCCACTTTGACATGAGGAATCTCAATAGAGTTGGATGTGGGCACCTTTGCTACAAGGAAAAGGCTGAGAGAACTTGGACTGTTCAGCCTGGAGAAGAGAAGGCTTTGGGGTGACCTAATTGCAGCCTTCCAGTATCTGAAGGGAGTCGACAAGAGAGATGGAGAGATTATTTACAAGGGCCTGGAGTGACAGGACAAGGGGGAATGCCTTCAAACTGAACGAGAGTAGGTTTAGATTGGATATTAGGAAAAAATTCTTCACTGCAAGGGTGATGAGGCCCTGGCACAGGTTGCCCAGAGAATTCGTGGCTGCTCCATCCTTGGAAGTGCTGAAGGCCAGGCTGGATGGGGCTCTGAGCAACCTGGGATAGTGGAACGTTCCCTACCCACAGCAAGGGGGTTGGAACAAGATGAGCTTTAAGGTCCCTCCCAACCCAAACCATTCTATGATGATAAACACTTCTGAGACTACTCATACAACCAAATAACAGTGAAACTTTTCTTGAAACAAAGCACTTACTGTTCGCTTAAAACTGGGGCTGAGCTGCTTTGGATCTTTTAAAACCATCTGCTGGCATTGTCTTCCCTCTGATTTTAACTCCTCAAGTATTACTCGAAATCCTTTCAGGTATTCGATCCCTACAAACAGCAGGGCATTTAAAGAAGATCAATATTTCAGAATGCATAATGTGGTATTTTATGTAATTTGAGTATATTTCATTTGTCTTTAAAAATAAAACTTACCAGTCATATGAAGTACTTGTATTTAATATCCATTGTTACATGTCACTTCTTCCTGCATATTCTATCTTGCCTATCTAGAAGTCAGTCTTTGGCAAAGGCTGCAATTACTACATACTTGTGCAATGCTTAGAGCAGAGGGGCCCACAGCTCAGCTGGGGCTTCCAAATTATCACTGCAATTGAACTTATCATTACCTTCTTCACTCTCAGGAATACTTTATAGTAACTTCACATTTCCATTGTTAGCAAAGAAATACAACGTTTTGCTGGCAAATTATAGAAATATTCCTTTATAACATTTTCCTATAATTTCTGAGACTACTAGATTAAAGTGATAGTGATTGTTACAACTTCTTTAGTTCTAGTACAGTATGGGATAATAGAAAACTTGACTTAAATGGAAAGGAATTTATTCCAGTGTGTGTATACTTCCAGTTATTTGTAACTGATGCCAGAACTACACCCATTTACTTCAAGTTACTCAAACACAACTCATCTCAGCACAGTGTCTTTACAATGTTCTCACCACAGAATTACTTCATTACACGATTAAACTCAGTCACAGTGATGTGAGTGTCCCAGGATAATGCCAGTGTTACCCCAGGACAGTTTTGTGGCTCAGGTATCAAAGGCACTGCATTGCTCTTCAAGACTAACTATTCCATCTAATTACATCTTTTCAACAGCATTACATATGGTAGAACAAAGATTTATCAAAGGCACAGACACAGTTTTTGTAAGCTAAATGCTACAGAAATCAAAAATGAATAATTTCAGTTTATGCTATGCTTTCAAACCAAAAAATAAAATCCCCTTTCCCTCTACTACTTACCAATGGCATTTGCTGTCCAAAGTATCATCACAGCAACCTGTTCCTGGCAGGCATACTGACTGATAGTGATGTTCTGCACGTCTCCGATCACGTGTCTGCCCACTGAGTTCAGGTAAGGTGTACAGTCTAAAAATACAGGGAAATAAACACTTTAAGAAAACCATTCTAGCTGACATAAATTTCCTAATATTTCTTCAAGACTGAGCAAAGTGAAAGTACAAGTGCACTGTTTTCTATAGAAAGTAAGTACTGTGTACTGAATCTAGATGAAGTTTGTGTCTCAAGACACAAAAACCCACAAAACTTTATGAATCATTGAGCACAGTCACTTTCACCAGTTGCAAAGCTCTAGTTCACAGAATTCCAAGGAAATCACCAGTGTACACCCCCAGTATAGCCTGTACCACATGACACATGTTGGGACTCTCAAAAGAGAGCTACTTTTTCTTATAATTGCTCAAAAGAATACTGACATTATTTTGTGCATGTACACTGCTCAGAGCAAGAGAATGTTGGTCAATGATCAGGCACATAGGAGAACAACAGACCACATAAAGCTTGAGAACTGGTGCTCGAGAAGTGCTTTTCAACCACGATTTGCCTGATCCTGACCACACAGAACCTGCAGCCTAAATCCATCTCCTCTCTGCCGTCCATTCAGTAGCCACACCCCTGTAGACCATTTTACTGCCACTGGATCCAGTCAGGACCGGTTTTGTCTTGTTATCATCACAAAATACAGTGTATTCCCTAAAGTTACAGCTCCACAAACACATGATTGTAGAAAACTTCAACCTTCATTAAGGAAACAAAACATACGAAAAACATTCCCGACTTTGTTGTTGAACTTGACCGTGTCTTTATGCATTCAAAACAAGAAAACAAACAATCCCAAATTTTATTACTTTTAAAGCCTTACAATACTCAGGCTCATATTCGTGGCAGGAAGAGAAGTAGCAGCCAGGGAATTCAATAGTTCTGGAGCGCAGTACACACGAAGGTGCGTGTGCACAAACAAACTTTCTGTTTCTGAACAAGTGAAGCCAACAAAATCCAGAAGAAATTGATTATATACATTACTGACTGATGATTAATTCTAAAAAAATGAGATAATCTATATGCTATGTTTTGTCTATGCAGAGCTTGTAGAAAAGAAACATGAAAAATCAAGTGCTATGATACGCCAGTACAGGAAATTTGAATTTAATTCAGAGGTGTGATCTTAAAGGCAAGGAAAGAAAAATTATTAAGTGTAAAGGAGATTTAGAAAATGGCTTTTTACTGTGAATAACCACGGCAAGGGGTCTTTTATATAACTGTCCCAGACACAAGAATAGAACAGTTTGTACAACACTGCCTTTGACAAAAGCTGGGCAGTTGGTACTTCCACTGCTGTTTGTAGAATTCTGTTGCTATGAGTGAACTCAGTGACAGCATGAACTTCCTGTTAGGAGGAGAGAGGATCTCTTTCAATGGAAAGTTTGAAGTAACTGGGTTTTTCTATGTCTGGATCTAATTAATAGCAAGTCCAAAATTTTGGATCCTGGTTACTAGAATTTTATGGTCAAATGACAATTTGCCAAAATGGAAAATAGCACAAAAGTCTGAAGTTTAACTGCAAGTCACTGATTCACATTTTAAAGAACAACAGATTTAGGAAGAAAGCAGCATGGAAAAATCACACTTTCCAGGAAATCACTTCTTTTACTTGAATACAAGTGACATACTAAAAAATACAAACATTTGTGTTTCACCTGAATAAATAACATAACCAACCACTTTAAAAACATAAACCACATTTTGCCAGAGTTGCAGTGTGGCAAAATAAAAGCCTTTAAAAGTCACAGCCAGCAAGCCAAATTCTCTTTTGTGCTGGCCTGGCTTATTCACAGTAAGTATGTTTTTCCATATCATGTTAGCTCTTTAGTCTTCGTATCAGCAAACTCTTTTCCTAGTACTGCAGAACTCAAGTAGCTTCTTTGTCCAGGAAGCATTCAGTGCCAGGAGAGTTTTGAGTTAATACTTCTCTTTGGTTAAACACAGTTTCTGGTGCCAGAATTAATGGAAAAAACACAACACATACTGGGAATTAAACAGACTCATTGTGTTAACTAAATGTGGGGATCTCTGTTCTGACTGGTATTATTTCCTGTTTTTCTTTACGCAATTAAAAAAAAAGCATACCTCTTTTGTAGTGACCACCTTGTACAATCTGACATAGTTGTTTGTTTTAAATACTAAGATCAAATTAGATTAAAAAATAATTCACAGTGAAGGATTGCAAATTCAGAAATGAACATAAAAATAGAGGAACAAAAGGATGATCAGAATGAAACAAATCACTATTTTTAGGTTTCCTCTTAATGATGAAATTTCACCTACACTCAGTATCTGAAGCAATTTCTTTGGGTAAGTAGAAAAAACAACCTGTGACTTGCGCTGGCATTAACACAAACATTACTGCTGTAAATTTGGACCTTGAATGTATATTGAATTAATACTGATGATGGCCATTAACTGCCCAAATAAGGATAAATTCCTAATGTAGTCAATAGTCCTACTTAGATGAAGACAACAAAGATGACAAAACCCTTTTAAAAAAACCTCAACAATAAGACACAGCCATTTAGCAGATGTTTGAAGAGGTCTGAAGTATTATTGCTGCAACCTGCTTATCACTGTTATTATGCCAGAGATTACTTTGTTCTTAGTTTAGCTGCAAAACAGAGCACATCTGCTACAGCTCTAAACCCATCTGTCTCCACTAAAAACACCCAGAGCAGTTTTCCACTGGCCTCCTCCTTTAAGATTGTAGCTAAAGAAAAGTTCCAACTGCTTTGACTGGATGGAGAGACGCTATTCAACATTCTTCAATATTCATATTCAATATTAACCCTTGCAAAGACACATTTTTATATTTTATATTACCTGTATGCAAATAAAATCTACACATTTTCTACCTCAAGACACACGTCATTCCATTTTCATCTAAAATTACATATCAGAGAAAATATGTATAAAGCTCAAAATAATCCTTTCCTATGAGTTTGTGTGCACTAAACCTTTCAGTGACTACATTCTTTCACAGAATAAAATAATTTTCTATAATTTTCCAGTCAAATACTGAGCAGATGACATAGGCCAATCTGAAAGTGGAACCACTACATATTCTTAGATAGCTTTATTATCAGTGAAACATAAGAAGGAGAAGATCTACCAGACCCGGCAGACACAAATCTAGATGTTAAAGATATGTCAATACTGAAGAGCTTATGCTATTCTTAGAGCCATTTTTAAAAGACATGTTGCTATATATTGACAACTGTGATGGAGTTCCTTGATTTTTGTGAATACAGTGCAGATTTTCAACTTACTGTCATATTTAAAGGTGATATTGAGTAGTCCATTGTTCTTTGTCACTGATGACAGGCCCTGCAGAGAAACACCAAGAAAATAATATGAATAAAGGAAGCTACTTAGAACTTATGTAGATTTTTATTTTGTAAGCAGGAGGATGATAGAACCTCATGAATTTTTAATGTTAAATAAGAATAAATGAAACAGTGGATTTGCAACTGCAATAATTCAGATAATTATAGTCCAGAACTTTTCCAGTAGGAGTGCACATTGTAGAAATCCATTATGCTACCTCAGACACCCTTTTCTATTATCAAATACTATTAAAGCAGATCCTGCCATCCTTGCTGAGCATCACAAACTGAAGACCAACCAGAGAACTGCTCTGCCAGGGAAGAATCCAGACACATCCACAGGCTGATGAGTCTGCTGCCTCTTCTATCCTTTCCAAAAGGACTTTGGTCTTCAGAGATGCAACACCTTACCCTTCAAAAAAGCACTGAAATTGTTTTTGAAACACAAAATGTAGCACCACTCTCACCCCAAACCAGACACAAAGCTGAAAACTGGAATGCTGATTCCTGTGAAGGAGTATCATTCCAGGAAAGGCAAATCACACCGGATTTACCATTAGCTTTAAAAAAATACCACCCATTTACATGGAATTGTATCTGGGTTCACTGCTACAATGTGAACAGCAAAAATCAATAGTCTAGAAGGACTGCAGCAGTAATTAGATGTTGTCAGGATCATGCCCAAGCACTCCCTGGGTGTCACTTCACAGTCAGAAACAGGGATGTACTAAGAAAAACAAAGTATGAGGTGTTACCTTGAAAGAAAAAAAGTAAAACAATACCTAAAGAATGAAAACAACTCAGATCTTGATAGTATTGTTAGAAGTTAAATTTGTAATCTCACTCTCTTCTTAGGTGGCTTTTCATCTGTTTAACTTTGATTTAGTTTGGCACTGAACCAGCTGTTGTACAAAAAGGCTTCCTGAAACAGGAGGGTGTCTTTTTTTTTTACCTTTTTTATTAATACCTTTTCAATTCTGACTCATTTTCTGTTTCTTTAAACTTTATGAGATGTCATTTAACTTACTACTGCATCAAAACAAAGACATGACTATTTGATTTTAAAAATTACAAAAAAGGAACTTTCATATTTATAAAGGCAGATAAACCACCACATTTTTACTTGTCTTCCTTTTGTCCTACAGCTGAAGTTCTGAGAGACATAAATTTTACCAAACCCCACAGAAAAATGGCACAAGTATTTCAATTTATTAGATGGGGGTTTTTATATCCTCTGTTAAAAAAAAAAGGCAACGCTGTTCACCACACCTTTAATTACATTTCTACTGGGATTATGATGACATCACAAACTACACAACAGTAGAAGTATAAATCAGTCATTAATAATGTAGATGCAAAAAGCAGATATAACATAAGCCAAACTCTGCTGAACTTAAGGAGCACATAAGACTTATTGGTTGTAAAAATTGGCTCCCAGGTGTATAAAAGGTACAAAAAGGTTGCAGTAAGAAGCGAGAGAATTAGGGTTTCCTTTAAAGTGTTGAACCAGATAGTTGTCATAGCAGTTATAAGTTAAAACATGTAAACTACCAGACAATTTCATCATGCTAAACTTTAGTATTAATCCTCCAAGTACGTACTGCTGTGAGTTTAAACAAATACACTCTTCCAGGAAGCATTCCCTTGTTTTAAATGGCTTATAGCTAAGAGAACTTGTTTAGAGTTTCTTACTTTAAATCCATAAACACAACGTTATGGCCTCAGGGCTCTACATTCTCAGTTAATTGTCCCTGCCCATGACAGGGGGGTTGGAAGGAGATGATCTTGAAGGTTCCTTCCAACCCAAACCATTCTATGATTCTATCATTAATTAACCACTAACATTTGTTGAATTTACATGAAGCTTTGAATTTATTCTGAACTTCACTGGAAAGCAGGTCTCCATTGCCTGGAGCTTTGTCTACAAAATCCCTGTGGTCCACATACTTCTACACACATGGACTGAGAAGGAACACATAGGAAAGGAAACAGTCAAAACATCTTTTATGAAGAGCTACAGACCACTGATCTTTAAACAGATAATCAACGTTAAAATGCACACAGATTAAATTACAAATAACCTTATTTGTCAAAAAGTAGGGGGGATGGGGGAAAAGCATTATCCACATTAAATCTCACATTATGTGATCTCAAAGCACATAACTCCACAGAAAACACAATAAACTAAGATCCAAATCCTGTATCTACGTTGGGCAAGCAAGACAGAAAGAATTTCCATCACATATCACACACCTCAAATCACAGAGATCAGTGTTGGATCTGCTCCTCCGCCCACATCCACAGCCTGAATAGTTAAGGTTAAGATCCCAAGATATCTTAAATCAGCACAGATCCGAGTAACACTAAAACACATCATCTCCTGAAGAATGAGTAACTCATTTAGATGTTCAAGACATGTGCAGGCATTTCATTTTATTTAAACATCCATCTTTCAACATGAAAGAGCACAAGTATTAATAAAAGGCAAAGACTATTACATGAAGTCAACCTCTAATTTTGTTTGTTTATATTTTTCTAATGCCCAGCCCTCACTTACGGTAACAGCTCACTAATGAAAAGCACTTATGACAACTCTTTCTACCCATTACTAGGCCAGAGAGGAACAAAGTTAAGATTACATTTCCAGAAATAGAACTTAAAGCAAATTTTTAACCACAGGAACTAATTGTGCCTCCAAGAATAGTAAAATTTAACTAATGTTTGCCATCAAAGCCATAAATTAAATACAATGGAATGAAATAATAAATCTGCTTGATTTTTTTGAAGTTTTCCCTCTTCCTTTTAACCTAGAACACACAGTGCTTCATATTTGAAAATAACATCTACTTTTTATATCTGATGATTCCTGCCAGAGACAGCACTGGTGATAGAAATGGATGGGTGATTTCACAATCATTCTGTGAATTACTGTTTTCACAAATAATGCTGAAATATCCTCCAACATTCAAATTCTGTTGAGCAAACACTCTTTCATTCAAGAAAGGCAGTTTATGTGTGTGAAGAGGCACTGTCAGGCAACCACTTGAACATCGCTCCCAGGAACAGAGAGAGATGCACTAATTACAGAGATCTGGTAGAGGAGGTAGGAAATCACTCCCCCTCAAGCACAGCCTTGTGCACCAGACCAAAACAGTAATCATGATTCATCTTTCACATGTTGCTAATCAACACACACATGGTCCTAATTTCACACTCCCATGAGGCAAACTGAAGGAACAATTGTTTTTGAACTCTAACATCAAGATGAATAATCAATGTTTATCATACTCACTGCTCATTAAACCAAAAGCTTTATATTTGACATCTGCTCTTTTTGTTTTACAGCTTTATTGATGCTTTCAACCAAGTTAAAATATTCTATATTTCTAGAGCCATCAGTAGAAAGATTAATTATCTGTATTATTTATATGCCTGCATTTTAAATTTCTTCCAAGAGAATATAACAAAATACATTATCCATGTTGATGTTTGCTATACAACTTCTATGTACTCCATGCACTGCAGAATGAATTCTAAACCCTGAGTGGATGGGTTTGTACTGTTATCCTTAGTGTCATTGATTAGCGTAACCATGAATTTTGTTCAGATCTGCCTTTCATATAAATAGATAAATGTAGATAGATAGATATAGATATACATGTTCTTGCATTGCACACACAAATTCCGCTTCTATAAGAGTTGTCCTGACCTTTTATGATCATTAAATATCTCATTTTTCACGAAATGATGACATTATTCATGTTTTTAATGGTTGACTTCCCACATCGGTAATTACATTTTGTCTGAACAATTTTTCTGCCATTTCAACCAGACAGGGTTTTCTCAAGTTCCTCCTATCATGAAAGGATATTGAATGGTACAGCTGCTGCCTTAAATCCCACCAGAGGAGGAGGTGGTCCTGAAAGGGGTGCATGTATACCAGTTTCAGGGGGGTCTTTTGGGATTTTTGAGGTGAAACATGCTGGCTGAAGATCACGAACTGCAGTGTATCCCACCTGAACCAAAAAACCCCCACAACCCAACCCAAAAGCAAACCAGTAGAAATGCCTTTTTATTATGCCCCCTTCCCGGCTATTTTAGTTTCTATTTAAATTAGTCCATCTGACAGAGAAGTAAGAAATCGTTGTAAGGAGAAATACTACAAGGAGCATTTCCAGCACAGCTCCTCAGATGCAACAGGACTCCAGGCAGCTGCTCACTGAAATTGTGGGACCCAGGTTACTTTAAGGAACAGACAGTTCTTAGAGGCACAACTTAACAACAATGGAAGCAAGTTTAATCCATACTGTTTGCTGCCTACCGTGAAAATCTTAAATCTCTGGGTCTAACTCAGGAATTCAATGCAGCAAAGCCTGGCAAAGAAGGGGCAGCACCAGCTCCAATTTCCCTTCTGCAGTTTGCAAGTTTGCCTGAGAAGTTTTCCATTGTTTGCATTGTCACAGTCAGTTCTTTCCAACTTTCTTGTGCAAATAATGTTTGGTAAATTACAAGCCTTCTAAAAACAAAGAAAAAGCCCCCCAAAGTTACCAGAAGAAATATTTTCAAACAAAGCCCACTTCCCACAAGCACTACGAAATGTGCTAGTCTAAGGATGTTTGGACCAAAGTCAAAAGTCTCTAGTTAAAGCAGTGTTCTCTTAACTGTGGGATATGACCCCTGGCAGGGGAGTTGGAAGAAAAGACGAGGTGTTTGGGAAGGGAGGGGGAGCAAAAGCAATGCCAAGACAGGTGCAGGAATGGTGATTGTGACTGGGAAGGAAGGGGGCTGCAAATGCTAAAGTTTCTTATAGAGGGACCCAAGACAAACTAGTTTGAGAAAGACTGACTTGTGCTGTAAACAACACATAGAATAACATATATCTGAAATAATGCAGGAGGAGAAGTTAATGAAAACTCTTCTGCATATTAACTGCTTAACATAGCGCACAGCACACTATAAAATCAACAAGCTCACTATTTAACTCAAATTAAAGAATTTATT